AGACTGGCCACTCAGAACACAGTCATCTGATCCCATCATGGGAACAACCACACAGAACTGGGGTCCAGCCAAGTTGACACACAGCTCCAACTATCACACCCACTGTGGCCCAGCCCAGTCAATTCTGACTTGTAGCAACCTTGTAGGGCAGAACTGCCCCACAGGGTTTCCAAGGCTGTAATCTTCATGAAACCAGACTGCTACATGTTTCTCCCACAGTGACTGGTGGGTTCCAATCACTGGCCTTGCGGTTAGCAGCTGAGCGCTTAACCACTGCACCAGCAAGGCTCACAAAGACAGAAGAAAATAGGTTAAAAAACTAGGCTGCATTTGCAAGTTAAAACTTTAATGAATTGGCTATCATTCAAGACAATGTAAAAAAGCTAGCATAACAGACAAGAAATCATCATTTTCTGTCATGAGAGATGGCTGTAATATTATGCCCACCCTGGGACTTTGGCGAGCATGACTGCTCCGCAGTCCCTACGTCCCTTCTCCTGAAAGGGAGATGGAGAGAGGGTAGCATGAGGAAGGGGCTCAGAACTTCAAGGGAATGACTGGCCAGTACTTGGGCCGCTTGCGATCACAGTGTTTGTTGAAGTTCAGCTGCACCGCGGCCTCCATGGCCTGGATCTTGGCAGCGCTGGCCCCGTACAGCCGCTTCATCTCGGCCTGGCGCCTCTCGCCGGGCCTCTCAGACGGAGGCTCCACCGACCGGTGGGTGTTGTAGTACAGGTCGTGGTCAGCATACACATAGTCCTCCAGGCGCTTGGCATCCAGCTGCTGCTGCCGCCCTGAGAATCAATACACGGGAGAGGAGCATGGTGAATACGGTGATGGATGGGCCAGCTGGAGGCCCCACTGCCCTCGGCTCTACCTTCCAAACAGAAACGGTCCGCTGTGTTCTTGGGATTCGGCTGATTATTGCTTAGTTATGAAGCCCACTGTTCACTGGCAAGGGTTCTTCCCTGACAGGTGCCCTCGAGTCGATGCTGACCCACAGCGCCCCTGGAGGACAGAGTGGAACTGCCCCACGGGGTTTCCCAGGCTGTCTGTCTTCCCAGAAGCAGAGCCCAAACCACACCCACTGCC